GCAGAATCCAGCCAGGAGCTGCGCTCATGCACTCATGCACGTAGGTCCCGTTGTGACAAAAAACAAACGAAAAACTTACGAGCGCGAACGCCCTGCCCCGGTCCTTGGCCCCCTCCCGAAGCCGTTGCAGTCCGTTCCACCCGGTCAGCGAGTCCGACGCCCCAGCACCGCCAACGCTGCAGGAAGAAGAGCCCACCACCTCCACGAACACCAGCGAGATGCGACGCACCGGCGGGCCCTGCTGCGTCCCCAGGGCCTCGGAGGTCTGGGAGAAGAAGCGAGCCTCGTTCGCCGAGTCTTCGCCCGCGATCATGAGGTCAGTCGTGAGGACGACTATCTGGTGTGTGTATGTACCCATCGATCGTACGCACGCAAGGTTTCCATTGTTTCCAGGGGGTAGTAGTGACGCGTTGCCGATGGGCAGATTTTGGGTTGGGTGTCTCGGTGGTGCGTATGATTTTGTTGCACCAGTCGAGAATGTCTGTCCAATAGGGCACACAAAAGGCGGAGGCGTAGCATTCTCCCTCCGACGAGGGTCGGTTTCCGAACCTCGATACAGCCTTGGCAAGCAACCAAAAGGCGAGTCGCCAACCCTTCGCCAACACGAACTTTGGAAAAAGCTCTTAGCGCGACAATTCTCGTGCTACCCTATTTCGGCCAGCACGTCGCTCGCTGGTGCGAAGATATAAACCTTGGAGAATGCGGGGTAGGCACGTTCTACAATACACACGCCGCACGATGCCCTCATCACGTATCGAAGGTCTCCTATTTTGGGACCATGCTCTATCGCAGGGAGGGAGGCGTGGGAGTCACCTCTTCCAGAGGGTTGCCTCGGATCCTGGTCGCGGTTAGGGTGGCGTCGATCAGAAACTTCCACCCGAACCCGTCGCCGTAGCCGTTCTCCTGCACGTCTACCTGTGGGGAGGGAGGCATCAAAGCGACCGGGCGGGCGAGGTGGTTTTCAAGGAAACTTTGGCGCAGCCTCCATAAACAGGGCAGGAACGGAGAGCGGAGAACTCGTCAGCCTGGAATGCCTGTCTTTTTTACGATGTGAACGCTTCCTTGCCGAAGGTTTTCTGCTTGCTGCGCTTGCGTGACGGGTGGGGGGGTGGCGGCCATCCACCCCCCCCCCACACTCTTTGTCCTGTTTGCCCCGTTACTCCCATGCCCTGGTGCGTAGTGCCTGGTGCTGGTACGTTACCCTTTGATGTTTTCTTAAGGCGGGTGTGGGAAGCGTCCTCCTTTATTTTTTGTTTTTGTTAAATTTTGTTCGGTTTCCGAGGGCTCTTTTCTCGAACGGTCGGTGCGGTACCTGTCCTTTTCTTTCTATCATTTTGTTTTCTTTTTCCGCAGGGTTTGTACCCTATTTTTGTTTTGTTTCCCCGCGGCGTCTTATGTGCCGGGTTTTGAGACCACGGGCTCCCCATTTTTTGTGGACTAGACTAGTGAGCTAGTCTAATGTGAGAAACAACAACAACAACAACAACAACAACAACAACAACAACAACACAGGAGAGAGAGAAGCGCCCCGCACTGACGTTCGCTTGAATGCAGCAGGCATGCTGCAATGCCGTCGGCTAAAAGGATGTATTCCCTCAACGTGTGGGACATGCCGTACTGGGTGACACATGGAGTACACCTCTGTCGGACACGGCACACAGCTTTGGACACACACGAGCTCCACATTTTTGTTGGAAGATTTCACCCCTCTCCACACAAACCGATACCTATGTAGCACACACACCGGGTACCGCGCGAGGTACAAAGTTCGCGTATGACACGGGAGGACCAGGTGGGGACGTACCAATCGCGCGCACGACACGTCTGCGGGGGTGACGGGCCTTCCTCGGCAGACAACCTGCACCATCGTGCCCTGGCTGCCGGTGGGGACGATCAGTCCGGAGGGCGCATCGACGAGCTGGACTCTGCCCAGAGCGCAGCAACGCGACAGCAGCTGCTTCGCGTTCTCTGCAGCGCGGCGCAAGTGGATTGAAAACAACGGTGAAGCTGGGCACAGGCCATCCTTGGGTGTAGAACACATTTGCCAAGCACTACAACTGGTGTGTGTTGTTAGGCGAGCTCATGTGCTGCGAAAAAATTTCAAATTTTCAAACCGAAAACACGTGTTGCGCGTCCAAGATTGCAACTGTAAAAGAAGGGTGCCTTCTCGAGGAAAATATGCACGGGATCAGCAGGGTCAGGTAGTACGTGACAGCATCAAGCAGACGACCTTCTCCACTTACCCCGCCCGGCTAAAGGCCCCAGACTTATCGTCACGCTCTTGCCGTTGTGTGCCGTAGCATAGCGTGGGCAAAGCCCCATCAGCACGCGCTCCAAGATACTGCATACGGCTCTTCCGGCAAGGGACCAAAGTCATACCTAGAAACACCTCCAACCGCAGGTTGACATCGACGGCCAGAGACGACGGCCGCCGGGAATCCAGCACGATGATCATGGGCAACACGAACGCAACACACTTGTGGCGTGGCGAAGTCGCAGTCAACCTCTTGCGGGCTCGAAAAGCTGATGCCAAGGCAAGGGTCGCAGCAAGTCGCAGCTGCGGAGGGTTATCCAACCAAGATGTTTGGTAGGGATGTACCAAGAACAATGTGCCGGCCCCCGCAGATCAGTTATGAGTAGTTGTCGGCGCACAACAGAGAACAGAGTAGGCACACGGCACACCTTTTGTTTTTGCTTGCACGCCTCCCTCCTTCCTTCGCTGTTATCTCTCCGCACACGCACACCTGCATCTGAGAGCACCACCAGCAGCAATCATGGGCGGATTTCTGGATTCGATCAAGGCCAGCTGCACGAAGATGGCGAAGCAGCAAAGTGAGCGGCAGCCGCCCCTTCCTTGTTTTTCTCGATTTTTTTTTGAACAAAATGAAGACTCGTTCCTCACCCACTACCTTTGTGTGTTGACCCTCTCATCTCGTGCTCCCGACTGTCTCCACAGTCAACGAGGCCATGGCGAGCGGCAAGAACGAGTCAGCATCTGGCGGTGGATCAGCTACGACGGGAACTAGGGTGAGTTTTAACGGTTCTCAAATGTGTTCTCGTTGCTTCCACTGCTGCTCGTGTTTTGAGGAAAATCCAACTGCTACCACCTCCTCTCTTCCTTGCGTACCGTTTTCGCGTTGTCGTTCAATCTCTCTCTCTCTGCTTGCTGCAGGCGCCCGAGGATGCGGAGGCCTACGCTAAGAAGGTTGCTGAGGCCATCAAGGCCGATGTTCGGTGAGAGATGAAAGAGCGTGGTGGTGCCTGACTCTGCCCACCTTCCCTCTTTCCTTCTGGCGCCATTGTCGAGAAAGAGAAGACGAATCAAAACCTCTTTGGTACAATGCACGTTCGCGAAATAGAGGCAGCTGTTTCCTGTGGGCGGGTGCGCAGCGGAGCAAACAGATTGATGGGTGATGGTTCAACAGGAAAATTATAAACGACTTGCCGTCGCCACCGTCTGCTGCGGAGGGATCGTGGTAGAGCGTTGTGGCCACGGAGGGAGTTAGCGATTGCCCTGAAAATTGTTTCTCTGTCGTCCCTTCTCCGTGGGACACTTGTGGGACATGAAAAAATGACGTCGAAGTTGTACCACCTTGCCAAGTTGATGTTCGGCTCTCCCTGCGTAACCCTTTTTTTTTTCTTTTTCTCCCATCATCGGATTCTGCCGTCTGCCCCTCGGGCCCCTATCCTCCACTTCTACCTCGCTAGACGACCCAACTGGGGTCACATAGGAGGGGGGGGTCGGACCCCCTCCTGCGGTTCTTGCCTGAGGTATTTTTATCGCAAGAAGGGTACAGTAATCCCTTCCCTCGCGACTTACGCAGTCGATGATGGTTTACTAAAAACGAGCTTTGCAACGCGTCGCTTTCATCCTCGACGAGGATTTGTTTTATTGTGAGAAAAAGACTCACTCTGCCGGGACTCGAACCCATGACCTGACCCTTAGCAGACTGCGAGGTTACCCACTAGACCACCGGGGCGACCGGTGTACCCTTGTGGGTGGATGGACACCCACAAAATGGCCCGTCGGTACTATGACGAAGGCTGACGACGCGCCGGTCTGGAGTTCAAGATGTTCCGTGTTTAGCGACAGAACGATGGACAAAGCGTACGTACACTGCCAGGATACGGCCAGGGCTTGCCCTTGGCCCTGCAGCCTGCGGGGCTCTTGTAATACTTCGTACATGCCGCCGCGTGTTAATTTCGACATTTTTTTTAATTCTCCTTCATTTTTCATTTTCATGACAGCAGACTCACTAGTGTCAAGACTTCAACACATGGTTTTCGACTGCTGACGGGTACATTGTTTTTTTTTTTTCTTCATATCACACAGCAAAGCCATCTATCTGTAAGAAATAAGTCTCAAATTAGCAATGAATCCATAGCATGAGCGAAAAGCTACCTGTATGTCTACAGTTTCCAGACAGTATACAGCGATATCTCCCCCTGTGGGTAACAGGCTCAACAAGGCAGTTTGGTAGCCGTCTTGCGTATGTATCTGTATGTTATGTTGGGAAGTCGTAGACGGAAGATTTAGGGGAACTCGGTTTGTCGGGTGTTCTATTATGGCACCCCTATGTGGTTGCGGAGCTAGCGCGTCTCGGGTGTGTATACTTTCGTCATCAACTTATTTTTTGTGTGATGTATGGGGGCATGTGCGGCGCGGGAGAACATATTTACCGTGTTGTTTTTCAACGATTTTATCAAGATTTTTNAAGATTTAGGGGAACTCGGTTTGTCGGGTGTTCTATTATGGCACCCCTATGTGGTTGCGGAGCTAGCGCGTCTCGGGTGTGTATACTTTCGTCATCAACTTATTTTTTGTGTGATGTATGGGGGCATGTGCGGCGCGGGAGAACATATTTACCGTGTTGTTTTTCAACGATTTTATCAAGATTTTTGACGCCGATAATGTGATCTCGCCGTGTCGTATGTTCTCACACGGTTGAGCATGAAGAACAACAGTCCTCGTGTGACATTGGTGGGCCCTCTATGCTCTACTTCTTCGTAGCTTGCATTTGCAAAGATAACGCTAACGTGCACTGGTATTTTTCAAGTTTCGTCACCAACACCAGCCAGCCGCCGTGCAAGTATCTGTTCGTCTTTGCCTCAAAAGCGAGTTCCAAGAACAAAAAACCCGTGCGCTGCGACACTTTGGTGGTGAGCAATCCACGTGGGGGAAGCATGTCCATGCGTGGTTATTGGCACACCTCTTTGGTCGCTAGGCGAGCCCTTCTTGTTTTTCGTTTGAACCTTCAAGAAGTTGCCCCGTAACTGCTGCTGCTGCTTTTTCGCGTCGCTTTCTCTGTAACAAGTAATATGCATTTGCGGTCACGAAGTAGACTAGTTTGCGTGTGGTATGCGCTAACCAGCGGACCAATGAAAACGATGCCAGTAGTTGCGGGGCAACAAAAGACGCGAGCCGCGAGCCTGTTCTCTCTATAATAGTCAAGGTAGGTTGGTTCCCCCGACAGCAGCTAGCCGGTGCGGGGAGGAAGGAGGTTGGGCAACAGGGACAGCAGCCCAGCATCGGATTATCGGATTCGGGATGTATTTACGAAGTAGAGAACGGGGATGCAGCAAGAATGTCTTCTCACGACACGAAAGAATGGTCCCTTTTGTGGCATCTATTCCCGTGCTGTGTATTCGCACAGCCTTCATTCACGTTGCAGGTAAGTGGTACCACTCTCTTTCCGACTCGTCTTCGCCCCCTTTTTTGGTGTGTGTTGTAGTTGTCATCCCCGTACATGCTGGTACGTGATTCATGATTTGTGGCTGTGATAAAGCGGATATCGATAGTGACATTAGGTATGTAGATGGCACTACTTTCTTCCTCCAGTCGATTCGATAGGTGCATCAATGACGGATTTCTTTTGCCTCCTTCGCTTGCCTTATGTCGGAACTCGCTTTGTTCTGGTATCAAAGCAACACGCCCGAATAGCACTTAACTATTTTGAAGTGACACAAAAAGGCTTGCGAGGTTCCGTACTTGGGGACGCCGCTTTACCCATCACTGGCTCTCATGTTTATTGTGTGGATGGGTTTGTTGTGCTATCTATCCAGTATGTTCTCGGGCTGCATGGACAGCCAGACCTCCGCGGACGTGAAGGACGTTTCCAAGTTCGGGCTGCCCGACGCGGACGGGGCCGGCGGCGCTTGCACGAACGCCATGCTCCTTACGTTGGTGGGTGTCGCGGTTGCATCGAAGCTAATAGGTTATGGCCAAGAAAGTTTGCGATGAAGCAAGAAAGAAGAAGCGACGATGGGATGGTAGGTGGGCGTTGCTGGTGCTGCTGCTGTACTCACAGACGGGAATCATTTGGGTGTCGCGTTTGATCGAGGTCTGGCCTCGAGTGCTGAGCGTATCCTGACTGCTATACTTCGAGTTGGGCTAGCTCTGCTGCTGCCACAACAACGGTGTGCGCTCGGTGCTTTTCGGTGTGCAGACTCTTCCGCCTGCCTGACTATTCCCCACCAAGATACTGTTGCGTATTTGGCTCTGTCTCTTGCGCCAATGCTGATCCTTTGGTGCTACTCGTGTGTTCGGTTGGCGTACACACCACCCCTCCCTGCCAGAGTGACGACCACTCCGACTCGTGGCTGGGCCTGCTGAAGGGGATGCAATCCGTCCTCAAGACCAAGAGGTTCTCCCAGGTGCGACAGCGTCATTGAAAGCAATTGGGTAGCGTGGGTGTTAGTCTCTACTTTGTACTCTGTTCTCCTACACCGGCGGGAGGGAAGAACGAGGAATGCAGGATGGTCGACGATGTTGTTGGGGCTCTCCGCTGTACTCTGCTTTGTCCGTCTCTCTGCAGAATCTCTGTTGCAGAAAGGCTTGTTTGTTCAAAGGAGTGATGATGAAAGTTATTCACCCATTCGTGTGCTCTCCTCGACACAGCCGATACGCATAACATTGCAGGGAATGTCGTGCGACGTTTTGGTTCCTGTTCGGCTGTGCGGCAACTAGTATAGATATGTTTCTTTTCTGTGAGTTGTTTGTGTCGTATGCTGCGTTGGGTGGCCGTCGTTGTCGTCGGCCTTTTCAGATCTTCAAATCACGTGCGTGAATTGTACCGTAGAACACTGGCTACTTCGGGTGGGGGGTGCTTGTCGCAGAGGTTCTGTGTGGCTGATGATATCGGGGTGGTGCGCACCGTGGTCCGGAATTTTTCGCTCATTTCCAGCGTTCCCGATGCTCTTGTGTGCGCTTGAGAGTTGTTGCATTTTTGGTTGGTGAGCCTTCATTTTTGTTTCGTGTGATCTGTTGATTACACAACACGAAAAACTCCTGAATGTACGACACCAATTTAAATATATTTACCGTATACTCTAATTGTTTTGTTGTCCTTGGTGCAGTCTCCCGTTCCTTGTGTGATCTGACGAACCAACAACCGAACTGTACATGTATGAGACGGTTGTCTCCAGGTTCACGTGTGGGCAAATCCCCTTTGAGATGTGTGATGTGGATACACACCGGTTCAACCTCTGGTGGAGAGGCTGACGAGTACGGATAGTTGTGTTGAGTGTCAGGTGGAGAGTATCCCTTGCTGCAGCAAGGTTCAGCGTCCGTCCATCGTACACTGACTCTATCTGTGGCAACACCCCGAAGGTAGATCTCCGACAGGTCATCTGACGTCAAAATTTACGACAGTCTGAGGTGGCATTTACACATGTACATGTAGATAGACACCGACAGCAAACAGAACGTGCTTTTCAAAACGATACATGGCACTGCGGTAGACACACGAGACACAAAATTTACTCCCGCATGCCTCATTCCGGATGAGGACTTGGGGGTGTGGAATTGTTTTTCCTGGCCCGTTCGTTTCGCTTTTGAGTTCGTTTTTCTCAGCTGACGTTAATCTCCTTCGGGCTGCTACTGCTTCTGCTTCTGCTACCCTCGTTGCGCTCGCTCTCTCTCTCTCTCTCTCTCTCTCTCTCTCTCTCTCGTTCGTGGATGTCCCTGGCTTATGTTGGTTCTTCCCGAACAGATCCCGCAGCTCAGCACGTCGCGGGAGATTGACGTCAATGACAAGTTCTCCCTCCGCAACACCGCGGTAAGTTTTGGGCCGGAGCTGCGTTGCGCGTATGCATGTGTTGCCTAGTTTGGATGCCGAGACATCTTGGGTCGTGGGTGTGGGGTTGGTCTTTGCCTTTTTTTCATTCCTTTCGCTCTTGTTGGTGTCTCTTCGACAACTGCCCGCTTGTTGTTGTATGGTTGGCGTTGTGGCCGCTCGTCGGACTTGTTCTGCTGCTGCTGCTGCTGCTGCTACCCTCGTTGACGTTCAGCTTGATGTGCTCCTTTTCTTCATCCCTCTCCTCTTGCGCGTTCCTTGCCGCCTCTGCGTCCGATTCGACGCGGGAAGGGTGGCGGAAGCACCAAGTGCCTTCTCATCGGCATCAACTACATCGGGCAGCAGGGAGAGCTGGCTGGCTGCCACAACGACGTGGGCATGATGAAGGAGTACATCACCACCCACGTGAGGAGACAAGGATCGAGACGCTTTGTTATGGCGTAGCTGTTGATGCCTGTGTATCATGTGGTTACGTTTCTTGAATTGACATTTCCACGCGACGTAACCAATGAAAATAGACGCTGGTTTTGAAGGGACACTATCGCAAAAACGCTTGTGGTGCATCATATGTGTGTATTCTTTTGTTTTTTGCACCGACCGCACTGACCGGCTGACCAATGAAAATACGTCGGTCTCATAGCGGGATAAGAAACGCGAACGGACACGCTTGCCTAACCAAACGGTTCTGTCCATGGGGGGAGGGCTGCAGTAGTGTGTGTGTCGTGCGCATGCAGAATCAGAGCCTTTTGGTATGTTGGCGCGTGTCGTTTCTTTCGTCTACAGGGGTACAGCATGGATCCAGCGAAGTGCAAGGTCCTGATGGACGACAATGTCCACGGCATGCCCGACCGCAAGGGCGTCATCGAAGGATTCAGGTGCGGCACACATTTGCCACGTAAAAGTTTTTCCAACATCGAGAAGGCGGTAACGAACGGTGGCGCCCCTTCGAATAAACACGAGTCGCCCCCGCTGGGGTCGAGCATTTTCCGGTTACCCCTTTTACACAACGCACAAAGCCAACGTAGCCCCTCGTTTGTTGTTATTGGATTTTCATGTTGCGCGATTTCCTATAGTTTCTCGGCGCGCAGGTACGACGGGGGTAAGCGCCTCCATCCACTTCACCGCCAGCACAGTTGCCGTCGCTCTGGTGACCCTCGTTCCTGACGGGAACGCCGCGATGCTGTGCTCCGTGGCGCAACCTGTGCGGTACAGACTGTACCCCACGGAGCGCAGTATAGAGGCGTTCCCATCCTGAACTGGGTTCGCCAGAGCGACGGCAACTGTGCTGGCGGCGAAGTGGATGGAGGCGCTTAGCACCGTCGTAACACCGCCAGCGGGTGACCGCGGCCGGATAACTCGGGTGATGCAGATTGCTCAGAAAAATCGCCCGTCTGTGTGGCCTTCGAGGGTCGTCGAACTCCGACCATGACCATGACCACCCCCTCCCAGAGGGCAAAGGCAAAGCGCCCCTGGGTGACCTTTGGGAATGAGCTCTTTCCCGTTGCCACCCAGGTGCATTTTGTCCCTGCCCAGTTGGGACGGGGTGGTCTTGGTCAGAGTTCGACCACGCTGGAAGGTCACACAGCCGGGCGACGCTCTGGTCCTTGATCGGCAAAGTGACAGCAGTGAAGATCTGGTCCATCAGGCCGGCTAGCTTGACGCCTGAGGAGCTAGTAGCCCCCTGCTGGATGTTTCCGATAGGCAAGCCTAGGCTGCACGGTCGACGCGCGAACCAAATAATTGAAACTCCCAAACAATTGGAACTCCCAAATGTTTGAAACTCTGACAATTGGAACTTCCAAATGTTTGAATCTCCCAATTGATTGGAACTCCCCATATACATGATACCTTATGGCGTTCAGGACGAAGCAGTGTGCAGGGATGGGGATGGGTCATCAGTGCAGTGCAGCTAGCGACCCGTAACACTGCGTACGAGAGCGAAACGGCTTGCTGCTGTGTTGTTGCCGTAGACCCGCCATCAGATGGTACCTCGTCTCTATGGCAGTGCTTGGTTTGGTTTCCCGCAGCGACTTTAATTTCGTTTTGTGCTGTGAGCGCTAGTTATGGTACATCGTCGCAGGGAATACAACAGGGATATGGTCTTGGCCTCGTACCCTCCGTCGCGTTGCATCACAACCACCCAAGAACTCGAGGTAGACGGACACCGCACCCCCTTGTGCGCATCACATGCATGGATTGCTCGCTGTTTTCAGATGGTTGACGGCGGATGCGAAGGCGGGGGACTCTCTCTTCATGCACTACTCAGGTGAGGATTCTGTGGCGGTTTTACATTGAGATTACCATACATCCGTCCGTACTCCACGAGGTGTGCCCCCTCGAGGGAATTCCCAGAGTAGTACAGACGTGACTCCGATATAAAGAGGGTACGTTATGACAGGGGGCTCCGACATATGAGGCTCGAGATTGGTTGTCAGGGACTTGGCCCGCTACAGGTAGTTGGGTACTCCCTTTTTCCGGTATTAGAGAGGGCTCCCATGGGCCTTAGTCGCACCACCCTCTTGTATCGAGCCCACGACTGTATGAACATGACGTCCTTTCTTCGTGCTGTGTGGATAGGTGGCGGATAATGTGAGAGTAATTCCGTCGGCGAGTGAATGTTTGTCAGCCAGGGTTCCTCACTAAAGCGTGACTAGACCCCCGCCCCCCCCCCTTTCTCTGCCCTTCTCATGAAATGAAGGCCACGGCGGCTCCGTGAAGGACACCTCGGGGGATGAGGCCGACAACATGGACGAGACGCTGGTGCCCGTCGACTACAAGTCGTCTGGGCAGATCACTGACGACGAGATCCTTAAGGAGGTTCGTTCGCCGTTATTTGTTTTTGGGGCGTCGTGGTTTCCCATGCATGCCACCCGCAAGTTTTCTTGTAAATGCTAGTTCTGTTTTCTTAATTTTCCAGTCTTGGAGGTGTTTGACGAGGCGTGTTCTCTGGCGTGCGTTGCGCTGAGCCGTTCGATTGATGCGGACGGATATCAGAGGCGTTTGGCAAGAAGTGTTGTATGGCGCGCTGGCGCGTGTCGTTGGTGGCAACGGCATCCTCCGCGTGCGATTGGCCCATCGACTTCCATTTACTCGATGTAACGTAATTTTTCCACCCGCAGAAACCTGACGTAGACAAGGCAACCCTCATTTTTGTCCTGTTTCTACACAGCTGGTGATGGTCCTGCCCGAGGGAGTTACGTTGACCGTGGTGATGGACTGCTGCCACAGCGGTTCGATCCTCGACCTGCCCTACGCGCTCAAGGCGAACGAGGGAACCATTAGTGCGGTGGAGGCTGGCGAGGTGTCGTCGACGATCAGCGCTAACCCTAGCTTCGACTTTGCGAAGGTGGGCTAAGAGGGACGTCCAATGGTCATCCCACTCCTTAGGAAATGTACATGCATATTTTGAGAGGACTTGTATCCGTTCGCGATGTAGCCACAGTAGCGGAAGGGGACGTGTTGAGTCTTTCCTGTTTGTGGCTGTTTTTCATACTGGCGTTGCTGTTGTTGTCGGTGGTGGTGA